CCTGGCCAACTGACTGGAAGAGATCCATATTTGTACCCATTCCAAATAAAGGTGATTCCATAGAATGCGGAAATTATCAAACAATATCGTATGCAAGTAAAATCTTGTTGTTGTTGTTATGTGCCGCTGAGTCAGATCCAACTCATGGCGACCCCTCCTTGGGTTTCCGAGGTGGCATCACTACAGAAGTAGATCGCCCAACCTTCCTTCTGAGGAGTGGCTGATGGGTTTGAACCAACAGCCTTCCGGTTAGCAGTCAAATGCCTTAGGCACTATGCTACCAGAGCTCCTAAGTAAAATTTTACTGAAGATAATTCAAAAATGGTTGCAGCAGTATATTGGCAAGGAACCTCCAGAAATGCAAGGTGGATTCAGAAGAGGATGTAGAGTGAGGGACATTGTAGCTGATGTCAGATGGATCCTGGCTGAAAACAAAGAATACCAGAAAGATGTTCACTTGTGTTTTGTTGACACATTCGACTGTGTGGATCATAAAAAATTATGGGTAACATTAAGGAAAAAAAAATTATGGGTAACATTAAGAATGGGAACTTAATTGTGCTCTTGAGGAAACTGTACATAGATCAGGAGGCTGTCGTTCAAACAGAACAAGGGGATGGTGCATGGTTTAAAACCAGGAAGGGAGTGTGTCAGGGTTGTATCCTTTCCCCACACTTATTCAATCTGTGTGCTGAGCAGATAATCAGAGAAGCTGGACTAGATGACTGGGGGAAGACTCATGAACAACTCTGTGATACACCAACAACACAACTTTGCTGCTGAAAGTAAAGACGACTTGAAGCACTTACTGGTGAAGATTAAAGACTACAGTCTGCAGTATGGAGTACACCTCAAAATAAGGAAAACAAAAATCTTCACAACTGCACCAATAAGCAGCATCATGATAAATGGAGAAAGGATGGAAGTTGTAAAGGGTTTCATACTTGGATCCACAATCAACACCCATGGAAGTAGCAGCGAAGAAACAGATTACGTATTACATTGGGCAAATCTGTTGCAAAAGACAAAGTGCTGAAGAGCAAAGATGTCTCTTTGAAGACTGAGGTACACTTAACCCAAGCCAAGTATTTTTAATAGTCTCATATGCATGTCAAAGCTGACCAATGAGTAAGGAAGACTGAAGAAAAGTTGATGCTTTTGAGTTCTGGTTTGGTGAAGAATACTGACAGCACCATGGACTGCCAGAAGAACTAACTAATCGGTCCTGGAAGAAGTGCAGCCAGAACGCTCCTTGAAGCGAGAATGGCCAGACTTCATCTCACCTACTTTGGTCATGTTGTCAGAAGGGGCCATTCCTTGGAGAAGGACATCATGCTTGGTAGGGTGGAGGGTCAGCAAAAAAGGGGAAGGCCCTTAACGAGACGGATGACGCAGTGGCTGTGACGATGGGCTCAGGTCTGCAGGGATCGTGAGGCTGCTGTGGGACCGGGCAGTGTTTCGTTCTATTGTACACGGGGTCTCGATGAGTCGCCACCGACTCGACGGCCTCTAACAACAACGATGACAAATTCTGCAGGTCTGGGCCTGAGAACCTGCATTTCCCTCAGGTCCCAGGCCACCATGCCCCTGCTGGTCCGGGGGCTCCACTTTGAGGCGGGGGCTCCAGGGCTGGCTGCCTCTAAAGGGAACCCCCTGAGCTGCTCTCTCTCAGCCCCGTGGCTGGGGAAGCTCGCCCTGCGCCCTGTGTGAAAGTCTCCGCCTCATGGGCGCTCAGAGGAAGACGCGTGGGCAGCGTGTGGCACCCGGAGCCATGGCCGGCTCTGCCGAGCGGTACCTTGTTGATGACCTCGACCTTGGTCTCCTCCTCGTCGGCGATGGCTTTCTCCTTGCTGACCTTCTCGGTCTCCACGCCCACCACCT